ACTCAAATGCAGATAAATTCATGAATGTTTGTAATCCAGATTTTAATGAGAATAAAAGACACGTGATTCAGTGAAGATCTTCTTTTCTCTGGCGACTTCATTCACTCAGCTGTACAGTCGCATTCTATCTAATTATTGCTGGGCGCGTGTGTGCTTACATCAGGTTTGTCAGAGAAACAAGAGTGAACACTAGTCATGCTTATTGTTAATGCCATCAAACGCTTCAAACATGTGATGAGTAATGAAATTGTGACATGATGGATTGAAAGGTAGTAGTTGTGGGTTGTGAATGCACCAAGGAATTTGAATAACTGTGTCTGAGCTGCTCATTGAGGTGGACGATTTATTAGGTAACTTGTGACCAGGATGCACATGGAAACAAAGCAGAATATAGGGTTGTGTGTGAGTTCTATAGAAATACGAGAGTGACAGGGAGTCAGAATGACAAGCACACGAAACCCCAGGTCAATAGGACACAAGAGGTTTGTGACTGTGCTAGTAGGAGTGATTGGGCAATTTCCTCTTGTGTGCATAACTCTGGATTTTCCATGTGAATAGCTGATGCTTCCGCAATACATGGAAAACGAAGTCCCATTGTCTTCGTCAGTTTGTTCTTCACTCTGTAGATTACTATGGAGTAGGAGGCGTTTGTTTCGATGTAATGGGCAGGGGTGATGAGGTGTTCGATGATCACACTGCCTTCAGATCCACTACCGCATTTTCACAGCCACGCAGCATAGTGGTTCTCAACCCTCTTGCGACAGGATACACTTCGAGTGGTTAGGGCTAGGAGTAGTGTTGTCCACTCGTCCATTGACCTGTTAAGGCCTGAAGAGGAAGATCTCGCATATGCCCGCTTCTTTTCGTATTTTTCAGTTCGCCTGTCAATGTGAAGCTCAGTACACTGCTCGCTCGACGTCCATATTTTATACTCGCAACTAATCTCGAAATTCCTCTCCTTTACTTACAGGTGAATGGGCTGAGCTGAGGGAAATCATTTCTGAATGTGAGCGAATTAAGTTTGTTTCTCGAAGTTCCTATCAAGTTATCTTGTCGATTCCCTGTGGCGGGATATCTCGAATTAAGTGTTGAGCTAGTGAGGGTAATTGTATTTATTTCAGTGAAGAATTCGCCACAAACACAAATCAGTGAATGAGTCACCGGATGAATACCTCGATCACGAGATGGCTGTCTTCTCCTGACTTCGGATGTCTCTCAGTCCGATGCAACGACAGCAAGATCATCAACCACGCAAAAGTTCGTCCACGCCTCGTCCACAGTGCAGACACTTTGACCAGAATCCAACGACGTCTTGAATTCCGAAATTCTTCCTCAAGCATCTGAGACTGTCAGCAATCAATGGTTTGAAGGAGCGTGTAGGATTTTGATGACGCCATGAGTCACTCGTTTTGCGTGCGAAATCGATGTTGTTTGCAAGCGAAATTTAGGAGATAATCCGCATCGTGAATTTCACCACATGGTGACACACCATTCTTTCACATAACATCAGAAAATATCCAAAGACATGCCAATTTTCCAGATATGTTTTTTCTATGTTGCCTCCAATCAACACAATTATTTGAACGAATGTGTCTTTTTCTGATTCGTCTTCACAGTTATTCGAAAGAATAAGACGTATGTTGTGAAAGGTAAGCAGAAAACGACAGACTACATTGCCTCGTTGATTGAATGCTCACATCATATCCATTAAATAATCTGAATAAGGGATATTTCACGTGTGTAATGTTGATTAATACTCACCATCTTAATTTTCAAGGCAACCAATTTATCAGCATTTTAAGCCAAAAAGAGAAGACGAGAAATGTACACAGTGGAGTGCATTTGATTTGTGGCGCATGTTTCACTTCAATTGGACACTAACTACTGTCGTACATGTTATCCTTGGCGTTTCCTGCCGACTGAATTCCATCAGTCAAGTTTTTTATGTGTGCATTAACAAGCTAGGTGAATATCCATCACCGTGAACTCAGAGATTTTATTGTTAATCTTTTTGAGGCTACTGACATGAAGCTCCTCCTGACCCTGGATATCCTGCTCGTCGGCTCGCACTAGTCAGCAATACAATCCTACAGTGGGTCAATCACGAGTGTGAACAGATAGCTAGCTGTCCTGCATGATGACAACGTCTCTGACTGCAGAAGATATGAGATGCTTGATGATACGCCCTGCAGATACGCCTTGCTGACTGGCGATTGACAATAAGCAGAGAAGCTTGATGAGTCAGAGCTTCCTTCAGCCGATTATGTACAACTATTTAATACATGGAACACGTTATGGCAGAAAGCCAATTCTCATTTAGATTCGAATGAGTGAACAGCAGGAATGGTCAAGTGTTTTTTGATACATATGACGCACGTACACAGTTCCAATTTAACTGCACAAAAGCATTTAATAGAAATGACAGTCAGACGACACTAAGAGAGATTGATTTTCCCTTTATGGAATCAATGTGTATACAGTTTCGTATGTTCTTTTTCATTCGGATATGCAAAGACACGTCCATGAGTTACTTCAAATGCTCGACATCTCGGTTGACGCAACCATGAAGAATATTACTGAGGCAGAATGGTTTTTAAAGTATAAGTGATTTCGCAGTTTAAGTTGGTTCCTTCAATTCATGCTGACTGTTTCGATGTGGAGAGTCGTGTCTACGAGTTGAACCGATGCCATCTCTCGAAGGTTCGCTTTCTCTTACGTAAGACACTTTCAATTTCACACCAATCAGACGCGGTGTATGATACGGAATTGAATTACCTTGTCAAAATCCACGTGAATTCGTCGGTATTTGTCCCTGGAAATATCATTTTTTCCTTGCATACTATGTAACTTTTATATCACTGCTTTCAGTGACCTCTCACGAACAATCGACAACCGCTCACTGATTGGCTTTGTTCTTTTCAGATGATCTGAGATCAGAAGAAAAGTTTGCGAAGGCAGGTTAGTACACGAGAAGTTTATCTACCACATGTGCTGCGTCAGTGCTCGTTATTATTACTCCCTGAACCTTCACCGTACAGCTACTCAATATGATGCGCTTGTCAAGCAAGTTACCAGTAGCCGACAGGCTACGCTGCTTATTGGCTATTCTGATTACTAGTGTGAGCAGATCTGATTTCGATGGAGAATATGTTCAAGCTAGCGATTCACTGACTGTCCTTGCCTACCTAGGATCTCAACTGGTCAATAGCCTCGAGTTACGCATGTGTTGAAAGTTAAAATTATATGGAGATTTGAGTCTGCAATCTGGACTTAACCAGCCTTCCGTGTCACAGTAACCACGCGCCCAATCGCTGAAAAATCGTTTGAAATGTGAAGATTCATTTGAATAATTGAATCCATCAGATGAATGGAGACAATGGTTGACGTAATCTCCGCCAAGCCTAAGTTACTAAGAACAAGTTGACTGTCTTCTTAGGCAGGATATCCTGCGTTGACTGTGCAGGTGAATCGTCAAGCTCATAGTGAGTGGAAATACGCCAGTATCATTCACCTGAGCAGAGAGATCAAGTGACGTTCTCAATTGTTTTCCTGACAACTTTCATGTTGTGTATCCGGTATTCATTTGCAGTGATTCGGTCAGCCACAGGGTCGATCGTGAACCGAGATTCATTGGACCATGTGTCACTGCCTGACTAGTGTCAAAACTTGCTACGCAGCTGGAGTGACCTGAAGTCGCACAGCAGTGATGTTTGTGTTTTCTTGAACAGTACGAAACCTGACTGACGATACATTTTCCCGGACTACTCGTCGGTTTGTCTGAGGCTCTCTTGAGAATGTCAGGAAGTCTTCACCCCACTAACCCTCACTGCGAAGAAATTCAATGCTGAACAATTTAATAATTTTATCCCTTAATTGTTGCTTTTCATCAACTGATATAGCATTCCTGGATGGATACTTAAAGAGTAAGCGAAAATCTTTCAATGCATGTTTTTAGATATCTTGCATCAATGAACATGAATCTGTTAACTTTTGAGAAGGCAACGTTTACATGCTTGTGTATGCGTGATTCATATCTTGGCAGCGCTGGCCATGTGTTTAACTGTTCGATTCCGTACTCAACACGTCGTCTAAATATAATTTCAGAACTGATAACCGGTCAATATTTCTCCAAGAAATATCAGCAAACATAATTATTGAACGCCATTATTTCTATGCAAATTGGCGCAATCAGGGAATATTTCAACTTACAATGTTTGGCCGATCATTTTCAGTCAGGGGAAGCAAAAGTGACGTCATCGAATAAACTTCACTATATTTCATTTCACACTGTCTTATTGTATTGATTGATTCCGAAATGAAATGCTGTCATTGGAGAGTGTAGAATCGACCACGGATAGGTGTTCATCGTCAATGAATGAATGATTGAATGAACGAGTATAGGAATAGTGCACCATGATAGAAATTAGTAATATGTAAGGTACGTCAACCAAGTAGTGAGAAACGCTTGACGGCTACATGAAGTAGGAGGGAAATATCTCACCTGTGCTTGTTCGAATCTACTGTAACAGTGTGGTGTGTAGCGAACATTTATCAACCTCATTAAACAGCTCACTATGTGACAGGGATGCATATCAAGTGATCCATAGCGGAAAACTCAGTGAGGTGTCTGGAGTGAAGTTGGTTGATTTCTCACTGTCCTCTAACTGATGTCAGCTCGTGATCCGAACTGAAATACTAAATTGTCATTAGTCACGATGATGGAATACAAAGTGTTCCACCCATGCATCTAGGAAATGTGAAATAATGGACTATTTCATGAATAGAGCGATCAGACTGTGAACGTATCTAGGACTACCGGACACCACATCCTATCCACACAGTAGATACTTTGACATTTATCACTTGACTTGACCTTGTAAGACACAGTGGGATGACTGTTGTGAACTCTTCGAAGACAGTCGAGAATGGAGTCGTTCACCTCTTCCTTAATTTAATGAAAAAATAAATGATTAATTTTGTCTGTTTTTCCCGACTATTAGAATACGGACACGAATTATCGGCGATCGGGGGTGAGCATGCATTTGATTTACTTCGATGAGAACTCCATTCACCTATTTGAATCAGAATGTTAACATCAACTGTAAATCATTTCCTAATATAAAGCGAACATATCCATGGAATTAGTAAAAATAAATGTGGTTCAAAATTCCATTCATCGCTGATTCTCTAAACCATTCTTTGGTTTTCAATGGTCTTTGTGAAATTCCATAATAAACAGACAGATTGAAGCCTTCACAAAATCGAAGTGACAACTCGTAGTCATGTTGTTGACTGGAGAATGCAGCAGACGATGTGTGTATGAATGCAGAGATTTGTTGAACCGGTAGGAAGACGCTGGAATATCCTGACTTCTCAGAGGACTTATGGCCAATGTGGCACTGACTCTACGCCTTACAAGTGTAAGTGATTAGTGATGAGAAGAAGCAGGAGAAATAGGACATTCGGTGAAGTCACAGGTGATGGGGGACAATAAACTACAAAGACAACCAACCCTGACGTGGACATATCCAGGAATTTGAAGGATTCCTTTCTGTTATTCATTACAACAGCATCGCTGCGACTGTTGGCAGCACGAACGAGTACGTCAAAGGTCGGATCGGAAAAGCCAGACAGATTTCAATTATTGGGAAATCGGTGTGGAAATCCACTGAACTCAGAATAGGGAACGCGAATCACATCTTCAACACTGATGTCAAATCAGCGCGCCGCTGTGTTTGAGAGACATAGCACTCGTGTCACCGGGAGAATTTTCAGATGACTCCGGTAATATATGAGAAGCTTCCTTGACTCCATACTGATTATCAGATTGAACTCTGCTCACAGAATTCACTCAGAATGACGTGCGCCATTTTGTGACAAATCACAATGGCGGAGCAGTTGTACTAACCAGATAGGAGTGCTTTTACAGCCATTGAATTGGACAACCAGAAATGAATATTTCATATCATCTATGGGTTCGGGAAACCTGACCAGGTTCACAGGCTTCCTTGCGATGAACCTTCCAACGCGCACTACGAATGGTGTTCATATCCACATGTTTACTTCATATTGGTAATTGTCGTCTAAGGCACGTTTACAAGCATGCATACTCCTAGTGGGAGCACACACGTCAACGAAAACAACACATAACGCCTTTTCCTCCGATACCACTTATTTTCTCACACTCTGGCTGCTGCATTGATCGCTCATCCCTCTGTAGATCGATTCAGACACCCTTCGCCTGAATGCATCACACGCATAAGTCAGGATGCCACTGCAACCTGTATGCAGCTGAATGGGATCTCGGAGATCTCGAGGATGAGACTAGGAGCTGGACGTTGAAAGAGATGACCTAAGGGTGCTTCCTTTGTAGAACACCGACAGTTGCGTGATTTCGCTAAGCCTAGACCTGGAACACGCTTTCGTGCTAACCAGGTCGCTAAGCATACCTCCTCACACCACCTAACCGAATGAATGACAGCCGTCTGCTCAAAATATTGACATGCTTGACGTCTGGATTAGAATGCGACTCATTATCCTTTTAAATTCGTCGCTAGCAGAAAACGGTATATTTCGTTGCTATCAGTTTTTGTGTAATTTTCTGGTGCATTACTTATCAACTTTCACATCGATAATGAAATGCATTCCGCAGAGAGGTCTCACCATTTATTTTTCGTTTACATTCTTGTACATTTGAGTAAATTCGTGTGTTTTGATTCAATTTTGCACACTACAGGAGAACCAACAAAAGGGGAACCGCCAGTGGTGACTTGTAAGTTGAACTACACTCCATTCTGCACAACAAATAAGATTTATTTTCAACATTCATACTATCTGTAATTGTACATGCCTAACTGTTATCATCTTCAGGTCATATTCCTCTGCCTATTCGCACACTCCGCTTCCTGTGTAACAGTATAATAGTGACTATGTGAATGCCTGAGTAATCTAAAACAAATGATGTGCTTATTTTATGCGACCAAAGGAAATGTTGAATGCACTCTACCTACTGACCCTTGAAATGTCACAGTCAATAATGTCAACGCAGATTGTCTGTGGTTTGTTAATGATCCTAACTGAGAAGCGCGACCGGAATATTTGAGATGAAGTTGTTGACAATAATAACAGCTTTCTTCCTGAAAAACGCCTTGCGTGGTATACAGAACACCCAGCGTGTTTTATCACACTGCAATTCCTCTCGTTTATTGCCCTTCCATATGTAGTAGTGACTAATCTCAAATGATCCATTTTCTCCACCTTCCACGATAAATGTTCGACGTCTGTTCACGATCCGATTCAAATGTGCGTGAGTACATTTGTATGCTCAGAGAAAGAAGTAATCGAATAGCTTAGATAATTTGGAACGCAGAGTAGATATTCAACAGTGATGATTTTTAATTCTGGTATAAGAATTACTCAATCATGCACCGAAGAGAGCAGAGTAGGCGTGCCTAATGCGCATGCATGCTGAAACTGCATCGCTTCGGGATTGGTACACTCGTCAGACACAAATCACTGCTTGCATACCCCGAATGAATATGGACAGTTATCATGTGATTACAGGCATGCAGCCACATGCATTTCTGTTGGTAATGGCGAGACTTTCTTACTTCTTTACAGACGGCTGGATGAATATAAATGGCGACCATGAAAGTAAGCGTATACACTATTCCGGGCGGACTTCAACTTCACGCTGAAAATTCCATACCTGTACCACAAATAACGTTTGGAATAAAGCTGTTATTATTATTATTTTGAATATTGTGCACCTATGTGAGAGGAATGAGCAGCCGCATGACGAAACTGATATAACAAGTTTGCGAATACTTTCGATCAACGAGATATACGTTTGAGAAATTCTAAGCGATAACTCATTCAGAGGAGTAAACAAATTCCAATCACGGGTGAATCTGGAAACACAGTGAATTTGAACACCACCTGGTGCTCATATGCCAGAGGCATCAGTGTTATTCATTACGATTTTGGAATAGGGTTCTCAGAATACTTGGACACTAATACGCTTCCGATTGACCGATGAATTATAAACAGTGTTTCACGACACATCCGATGTAAGGGGGATGGAGAAACCATTGACGGTGATCTTCAAATGGTAATAGGTGTTTAAGAACAACATAGTGACGTATTGCGAGTTAGACGGACTGCCTCACCGATGATGGTCGAAACTGACTTTGATATAAGATGGAATGATGCACCCGAACCACACATACCAGCAATAAAATCTTGATACAGAACTATAGGTGGCACATGATTAAACATTCGAAAGAATGATACTGAAAAATTCGTCTCAAGCAGAAACAGCAGTCATGTAGACTCATTATGGAAATTTGCTAAGGAATCAGTGGATGAAATTGAGGAACTACCTGTGCAAGCTGACTGCAGACTTCTGAGTATAACAGACGGGAGCATAAAAACGGAAGTGTACTCACAGGATCACTACACAATATGGGAGATTCCGTGATTATCTATTATTCAAGTCACCCACTCACGTTAAATGGAGGGTTAATACGAGGTCTGGCAGACGGAACGCACAGACGTACAACAACACTAGATCACCGATGCAAAGAAGTAGTCGTCCTATTGGAAACGCCACTTGAAAACAACTGCTCAAAAGAGTTCGTCCGACACACCATAACGAAATATGCAAAGACGGTAGGAGCAGACGATGACAAGAAAGAGGATGGTAAACACGGTGAAAAAACCGTTCAAAAAGGGTTTATCCGAGGTGGAATTCGAAGAAACCTCCAAATACTGGCATTCCCTTCACATTTAAACCAACGAATCCAACTAGGTGGAAACAAAACAAATCAAATAAACGATCAAATAACTGTGATGGATTACATTGGTGATGTAGGTGGCGTAATGATATCGTGTGCTGAGTGTTCAACTAAATACGCGCGTCAAACGTCTACGTCATTCCCGGAAATAAGTTTGAATGAACATAAGCGCCTGAGTACAGGTCATCACACTGGAACGCAAGCGTACAAAATTCAGAAGACAATTTGTCTATACCTGCACACACATACACGCAGGGGAAATAAACCTCAATATTGATTGGGACAAGATTCTCATACCGGAATATGATATGAGCAAATGGAAAGAGGTACTAACAACGACGGAATCTGTATTCAGTAAGGCAAGGATCGATACATGCTACAAGGATGATTCGGCAGCTCGACTGTCAGCATTCTGGAATGTAATTCGCGATACACAGAAATCAATGAACCGAAACTGAGCTATGCATACACAGGTAGATAAAAATCCAATCATTGTGTTTAAGGTACTGGAATGTAACCACAAATACTTTGACCTATTTCACAATGCGTTGACGTTTTACTGACAAGAAATAGAACCAGTTGAACAGCTGACAACGTGTGCAGGTAACTACCACGCATTGAAGTCGAGAAGGTGCTTTCAAGTGTCAAACAGCTGCTTGCCTAATCTCTTCTGACGAATGCTGTGTGAAATTTGTCTCAATGTACACCGTGCTTTAGGTTCTGCATTATTATGTAGAAAATTTCTTTTCACAGAATACTCATTCCTTCTGAGGAACTCATCAGTGGGTAAGCACATTTGCATTCGAATTATTCCAGTTACTTGACCTCATCATCACTAGACGTAGAGTACGAGAATCCAGAATCGACCTGTTCACTTGTTTCTCTAACGTTTCTATCGAGTCACTGATTTTCACAAGTGGCCTATAACTTCAATCACCACCAAGACATTATTCTTGATTCACCTATCCATTAGTCGGTAGAAGGGAGTATTTCACCATACTCCTTCCCCTCTTCCACAGTTGGTTCAGAAGTAGTCGGAATGTGTTTACAACTGGCTGAGCATAGAGACACAGAGTTACGTTGGAGCCATCTACTTGTGAGGAGGTCTGTCAGTGAAACAATTCTCTGAGCTTCAGTCGATCTATGCGACTAGCATGCAGGTGCATTCATGAATAATCCCCATCCAGACATTAGTGAAAACAAAAAACATGTGGCTCAGAGGAGAGTCTCTTTTCG